AAGGGGGGACGGGGAGAGAAAAGTGAGAAGGGGAGGATTGGGGGAACTTGGGGAAACAGGAAGATTGGGATAAAGGAAGGTTGGATAGGGGAGCAGGGAAGCACATATCTTAGTTAAGGGAGCCACCTTAGGGTTGGCAAGAGACTTGAACCTAGAGTGGCTCCCAGGAGCCCAAGGCGATGTCCCCAGTTAGTCCCTTGGGAAGCGGAGGATAGGGAACCCGAAATGACCCTATCCCAAAAGGCTATTTTCTAATGGAGTCTTTAGTCTTTACTCTCGTCCCTGACAAGGCTTCACCTTTTTCTGTGGTGACTGCGTCCTGCACAATGCAATGCTTATTCATTCTCACTAGATGGAGCCAATGCCTGGGAAGCCTAAGGAGAACCAGAGTGACTTTCTAGGAGCATATTCTTGGTCAGACCCTTTCCTACTGACTTTTCTCCTGATTGAAGCCAGTTCCATAAGCACCCTGCTGTGTGAGGGGAACCTGGTGAGCATCATGGTATTAGCACACCTCAAGGAAAAGCTGTATCATTAAAAAAATGTAGTTGGGGCTGGAGAAATGTGTCATTGGTAAAGAGCGTGCTTGTACCCGAGAGCAGAGCACCTGAGTTCTGTTCCTAGCACCCACACCAGGAAGCTCACAAACTTCTGTAAGTAAGGGAGCCCAAACCCTTCTGGAGTCTTTGGGCATCTTCACTCACACTTACACATCCCCCTGCCACACACACGATTGTTAAAAATTCAATGTAGAGCTTCCTACTTAACTGAGCTAACTGATGAGTCTAAGGGGTTGCCCAAGGTTTAGGATTTGGAGACTATTACCTTCTGATGAGGGGATACGTAAACACTCAGAGGACACTAAATTCTTTCATTATTTTTAGAAACTGCCATGAAATTTTTGTGACAATATATAATATTGAAGTTTTTATTAATGTATAGCATGCAAACAAAAATAAATGTGCAAAAGCTCAGTGAATTATTAACACAATGAATACACTTGTGTCACAGTGAAAAATGAATTAGCTTCTCCCCTGCTCTCAACAGCCTTGGCCTTGCCTGTTCCAAACGGTATTCAAGATCTTTGTTGCTGTTTTTAAGACTAATTTATTTTCATTTTAGGTGTTTTTCCTGTATGTATGTAAATATGCCACATGAAGATAACACTGAACTGATCTCCCAACCTCCACAGGACCAACAGGCTTGTGCCATGTGCTAGGATTATAGGCATCTACCACTTCACTTGGCTTAACTTTGCTTTTTGTAAAATAAATATTTTACTATAGAAAAATATACATACATATGTAAACACACACACAAGGATATAATAGACTTCGCAGCTTCAGCAACTACTTATTAGGCATTTTTAACCTTCTTTATTGCTTTAACCCATTCCCTACCCATCAAACCCATCCGTGCTTATTTTTACTTCCCTTGTTTATACAGTCAGATGTGCAAACATTGAAATCTACAATTTTTAAATATTGTCTTATTAGTTATGTGTGTGGGGGTGTGTGTGCATGTGCATAGGGGTCCCCAAGAAAGCCGGAGACATCTATTTGAGTCTCCTTCTGCCCCCCTTAGCTGGAGTTACAGGCTGTTGTGAGCAACTCAGAGTGGGCGTTGGGAATTGAACTCAGGTCGCCTGGAAGAACAGCAGTGCTCTTAACTGCCAAACCATCTTTCCAGCACCAAATGCATTTTCTTTTATTTAAATTTATATGTGTGTGTGCCTTCTTGTCTCTATGTGCACCACTTGCATGCAGTGCCCACTGGTGGGCATTGGATCCCTTAGAAATGGAGCTACAGGCGGGCAATTGTGAGCCACTGAATATGGGAACCACACTGGGTCCTCTGTAAGAGCAGTGAGTGCTCTTAGCCACTGAACCCCCTCTTAGTCTCAAAGATACCTTTTTTTTTTTTTTTTTAAAGACAGGGTCTCTATTATTTAGCTCTGCATGTCCGAGTACTCTCTATATAGACCAAGCTGGCTTCAAACTCAAAGAGACCCACCTGCCTCTGCCTCCTAAATGCTGGGATTAAAGGTGTTTGCTGACACTCCTGGTTTATGAAGCAACAATTAAATGTACACTTAAAAATTTGAAAAGATGTATGTTTTGTCTGCATGTCTGCCTGTGCATCAGTGCATGCCTGGTGCCGTCAGAGGCCAGGAATGTCTGTTACACGCCTTGGAACTGGGGTTAAAGACAGTTTTGAGCCACCATGTGTGTTCAGAGAACTGCCAAGGGTCTTCAGGAAGAGCAGCATGTGCTCTTCACCATGGTGAAATCTCTCCAGCTCCTTAAATGAACACCTGTGACAATCAAATACATCTACATATTCATTCATTTTAATATTTTATACCTTTCCAGTGTGGGAGGCACAGAGGTCCTCGTGCGGATAAGCACTAAGAGAACAAGGAATGTTAAACACACAGGGATGTTCCTTCAGAAGACAAGATGCATAATCTGTTATTTGCTCAGAAGGCTGGGAGGGGACGTAGCCTGGTGATGTTTGGCACCACACTGGATCCTCCCCTAGCCCCTTATTCTTTCTGAGCTTGTCAACCTATAGAATCTATCTTTATGGAAGGTGTCACATGTACCCAATCTATAGAATCCATCTTTATGGAAAATGTCACACGTACTTTACAAAGAATTTCGATGTAGTCATGTCTTGGGCTTTATTGTGTACATGGGATTGCATTAATTACCACCAGAAAAAAAATTCAAATCCTGCTGTGCTTACTTGTGCCTAAAATAAACTACTCAGGGTCAGAGTCCTGAAGTTTGGACCAACACCGCCTTCTGAGTCATGCTGAACTGAATCACTTTCTTGCCTCCCACCAACTGTTATTCTGCTGGCCATGGTGGTTGCAGAGATCCCTTTCACTTCAGAACATCCTCTCTTGTTCCTACCCAGGAAGTTGTTTTCCAGCTCCATCTCCTGGGCACTGAGATTAAGAGGATAAATTGCTATTAGGTTTTTATGCTGTGCTGGAAATCTAGTTGAGGACATTGTTAATGCAATGCAAATCAGGACGCTTCTATCGGTTGACCCTCTTCTCCACCCCATTCTTTCCTGACACTGAAAAATGCCCAAGCTTCATTTTACATTTTCCTTCCCAGACCTAGGATTAGAACCTCTAGAACCCTAGCACCTGTTTCCTTTTGTTGAAGATAAATCTAGCAGTCTGTCTGACTCTGCACAGACATACTGACAGCGCCACTGAATCATGCTGATTTTGCCCAGTGTAATCCAGAGCCGCAGGTTCAGTTGCAGCATGCTGTGTTTGCGCATTTGTACCTTGTGTGGATTACTGAGGTTACACCTGTCTTCCACAGTGTATTTACTGGGGTGCATTGTAGTTCCAGCATTGCTAACATTGTTTTAAGAGGCTGTGTCTACCAATTAGAGTGCAACTTTGTGTTCAGCTCTTGAGTTTAATATACTCACTCTGAGTCTGTTTTGTTAGGTCACTAAGTCAGTACCGTGTCTGGGTTTTTATTATTCTAGCTACACTCCCCCTCTGAGGGTAGGAGGGAATGAGCACTACAGTTCATAATCAGTTCACGCCACCACTGTGAACCAATGTCCTTTTGGTGTGTGTGTGTTTTACTGTAAATACTTTTGCTATCAGACACACAAACCTACTCTGAGACATCATGTGAGGAAAAGAATACCTTTATTTACTTGAGCCAGTAATAACTGTCATACACTTTTAGATGACACAAGATTAAGAAGGTATATAATACAATGTCTGAGGCTAGGAAGATATAAAGAGGCCAGAATGTCATCAAATGTAGGAAATATCAATGTTCATTGCAACACGAAGCCACGGAGAGTCCCTTCTGCTAAGTCTCATCATGGAACATGATGATATGACACACTCACATCCTTGAACCATACATACATGAGTGTACTACCCAACACACCGTAGGCTGGTCAGCTATACCCCTGCATGTGCCACTGGCCTCTCCCAAACTCTGGTTACAACACCACAAATGACCCCAGACAGAGACTGATGCCCGCCGATAGGCAGCATTATTAATGTTCATCTCCTGGCATGCAGATTTTGAAAAACTGGAATATGAGATTTACCATTAAAAAATTAATGTACAGATTCCATAGTGATAATTTTCCTTGGTCAGGATTTTTGAAACCTGACTGGAAGTTGAGAGGTTTCACATAAAAAAAAGTTCACACAATGATCTGTTTAGTGGAAGATCCCTACCAGAGACACTCGCTATTTATGGGAATTTCATCAGGATTTCTTCTCCCCACAAAGCAGCATGAGAATGAAGAGTGGCAACAAGGATCTCTCTCCGGACAGCTTTCTAAAAAGAGAATTTATTTGTCTCCCCCACCTCCTAGGGTAAACTAACGGCTGTGGGCCTGCCCTATTACAGATTGTGCGGATCTCCCTTCCAGACACTAGAGAGATGGCAGAAACAGGCAGGAGGATCACAGCTCTCAGGACAAACTATTCCTGAGCCACAGTGCCCTTCTCCACATGGCTCCCAAACATGCTAGAGGTTATGTGCACTTCAGGCCAACTATGGATGGGCACCCAGGTGGGGTTTGTTGTAAGATTCTGGGGATAGCGGGATAGAAATAAATAGAACACGCGCACTTACATTCCACTAGAGCTTAGCAGACGGCTCACAAACAGAAATGCACTGTACAGCACAGGCTTATGAGTGCAGCAAGGAAAATAAATCTTGGGAGCCCATGGGACTCTGCGTTTGGGACTGATTCCTGCTGAGCGACTTCTTAGAAACACTGCCCACATTATTACCTGCTTTACAGTCTCTGTGCTAACTCTAATGTCTCCCGAGGTCTGACTTAGAGATGTGGATCTTCCAGATACAGTGATTACGTCTGCTGACATCCAGGAAGAGGGTTTCCCACATACATTACTCATGTGCTTCCAGCCAGTCACTGATGTTTAGAGCGGACTGCCTACTGGAAAAGGCATTTCCCTGTAGCTACTCTTGGGGTTCCTCAGCAGTGCAAGTTCTTTAATAAAAAGAGACCTGGCATCTCTTAAAGGGTTCCCTGCTTCCATTATACTCACCTATGTGTTTAGGGTTACTCACCTATGTGACTTCTTTCACGTACGGCAACAGATGGCTTATGGCTGAAATATTTCCTACAGTATTTAGAGTCAGAGTCTCTCAGTTTTGAGTTTTCTGGTGGACACGGACGTTTGTCTTGAGTACCTGTTTTCTGCACATAAACAACATCCATGGAGATGTCCCCATGCGTCTTCTTTGGTATGCAGTAAAGGATGACCTATGGTTGAAGGACTTTCTACATTCATAGGGCTTCCTTATAGGGTATACATTACCTAATGACTGATGAGATATGATATCTGGAGTAAGGGTTTTCAACATTTCATCTACGTGTATGTGTTTTAATGCACAGTGAGTTATATCTATGGTTGAGATATTTTTTACATTTATATGCTCTTAAGATTTCTCCCCGTTTGTGAGTTCTCTGATCTATCTTTGGCTGGAATATTTTCTTTTTAATTATAAAAGTTTGTCACCTGCGTGAATTCTCTGACCTGTGTACCAGCTTGACACCGGGCAGGCCTTTCCACATATGGAACACGGGTGGAGTTTCTCCGCAGGAAAGCTCCTGAGAATGGTGGGCAGATGACTAGTGGTGGAGCTGTTCTGCATCTTCATAGGATCTCTCCCTGGTGAGCTCTCTGATGCACACAGGTGTGAACTCGACTTATAGGCTCATCACACACCTCACTGGTAGTGATTCTCACCCGAGTGCGTCCTCTGATGTCTGGTGAGATGAAACTTCAAACTAAATGACTTCCTACACTGTTTACATTCATAGGGCTTCTCGCTTGTATGGATTTTCTTATGTGTATAGAGGCTTGGGCTCTGCTTGTAACTTTTGCCACACACTATACACTCATAGGGTTTCTCATTTGTGTGAGTTCTCTTGTGTGCATGAAGGTGGGAATTTTGCTTAAAGCATTTTCCACATACATCACACTCATAGGGTTTCTCACCCGAGTGAGTTCTCTGATGTACGGTGAGGTATGACTTGAGAATAAAGGATTTCCTACATTCTTTACATTCATAGGGCTTCTCACCCGTGTGAATTCGTATGTGCGTGTAGAGACTTGTCCTCTGCTTGAAACTTTTCCCACACGTGGTACATGCAAAGGGTTTTTCACCCGTGTGAATTCTCTGATGTACAACCAGAAATGACTTCAGCCTGAAAGACTTCCCACATTCTTTACAGTCATAAGGCTTCTCACCTGTGTGAGTTCTCTGATGTGCATGTAAGTGGGCTCTTTTGTAAAAGGCTTTTCCACACACATTACACACGTAGCGTTTTTCCTGCGTGGGGGTTTGCTGGTTCACGATGGGTTTTGACTGCTGGCAGTCTTTACACTCGTAGGGTTTCTCAGCTGTGTGGGCTCCCGAATGCAAGTAGAAACCTGGTGTGTGGTTAAAGGTTTTCCCACAAGTATCACATTCATACGCTTTCTCATATCTGTGTGCCAGCTCAAGCTGGAGGTTCGACTTACTAACTGTCTTTCCAGATATACTGTATTCATGGGATTTCTCAGCCTTGGGAGGGTTCTGTTGAACACTGCGATTTAATTTTGAGCCAACCATTTTCCCGTACACATTCCTTCCATCCCCTATGATGCTCTGCTGCACACTCTTTTCTGATTTCTGGCAAATGTATTTCTCATCTTCATCACATGTGTAAGGCTCTTCTCCCACATGTGAATGCTGATGTTTTTGGAGGTTTGATTGTATATTGAATATTGGCCCACAATCATTGCCTTTATAATATTTCTTTTCTTTGTGGGTTTTTAAGTGCTGTGTGAGATGAGAATTTCTATAGAACAATCTCCCACACACTTTACATTCAAAAGCTTGCTCCTGTACCTGGGTCCCTCCTAGACCAGGAAGAGCTAACTTTTCTAATCCTTTCCTGTAGTTCCTCAATTTACTGGAGGGGTCTCTGATAGGAAATGTGTCCTGTAGCCACACTGTCTTCGTGTGGAAAGCGTCACTGTGCCTACGACACTGCAAGTGCCGTTCTTCACATTGAGTACTGTGATACAGGCTGAGAGGCTCAGGAAGCCTGGGGGACACCCTGGTCACAACCGGAAGACCACGTTCCTCTACCGCCTGCACCTCACTGGGCTCACTAGGGAGAAGCACATTAGCCCACATATTACGTGCCCCATGTCTCGTTCCAGAAGACACGTCATTCTTTACAGCCAGCCTCAAAATACAGCTTGGGCTAGTAAATGGTTTTCCTGCTTCAGCCCTCTGCTCAGCTGACGTGCTGCTCTTGGCAATTACCAGACTGCATCCACGCATCTTTTGACTATCCTGGCTGATCTCATCCGGGCCATTCACATGCTGCAGATCTAGAAGAAATAAAGAAACGGAAGGTTTTCTGGTTAGTATCCATACAGATCAAGTGCAGTAAACTTGCCTGTTACTTAAGAATTTCTTGATGAAATGATGCAGACATCTCCAGTGCTTTTCAAATACTAATGATCATATACAGAGGAACGGATTCTTGATATTCCTAATTTAATCACAATTAAATACAACAAAAGAAAAATCTGTAGGGCCCTGGTCTGCTCTTATTCCTGGGGCGCATCTCGAGGACAATTTCTGGTCAACATGACCAAGCATTCAGCCCTTATTCCTGGGGCGCATACAGTTTCTAGTCAGATGACTAGCATTCTGTTAGTTCCTGTATTTCCCCTGCCCCTGCCTGGTTAAGTTCCTATATTTTCCCCTGCCCCACCTGGTGATTAGCTGCAGGGCATTCATTCCATTGTTGATACGGTAATTTCCCACCTGCCTGGGCGGAGTCCTTGTGCTGCAGTTAGCTAGATAAAGACTCCCCCAATGCTGAATAAACTGGCAGTCGCTTGATCCGAATGACCCTGGTCTCTCTGTGTCTTCTGTTCAATCTCCAGGCCCTAACTCGACTTGCGCTGTTCGGTACAGTGGCGCAGGAACTGTAGCGAGGGTGTAACACCAAAACCGGGTGTTACAAAAATCTGCAGACATTTGGTTCTGTAAGTCAAGGTATACCTGTAACCCTGGAAACGTGAGATTGCTGCATGGGTCTGACAGGAACGACTGGCATTTCCTAGCTGTGTGAACACATACATGCTGACTCAGAATCATGCTTCTCCATGCCTTTATTTACTCTGGCACTTTGACCATAAGAAAATTTCACAACAAATGGAGTTTTCTGGACAAATTCATTGTGTATGTCAAATTACAGTGATTTCTACACAGAGAAAAATGGAAGGTTAATCACTTAGCACAACCCTTCACAAAATATGAGTCCAGAAACAAGCAATTTGTGGGGTCATTTGACCTTCAAGTCCAAGGTCTCCTAAACGTTACACTAAGCTCGAGATGTACCCCATCCTAGAGTCTACGCCGGGTGCTTCTCGGCTGCAAAAATTCTGCTGTCTTCACACACATGACTTCATTTCCAGCAACTTTGCTTTGCTCAACCCCATGGTGAGCTGCCTAAACCACTATGTTTTCAGTATTAGTTTCAAACTTGTAACATTGAAACTGGATTCTTAATAAAGTAATAGGAATTCTCTTCATACTTCTTGTCCACCTATATACTGTATAGTATGTATAGAAATCAGTGGTCTGAAATAAATTAAATCAAATGAAAGTCATAATATTAAAATTGCATGTTCTTTAGGCCTTAACTATTTTATTTTTCTTCTTTTATTCAGGAAGACTTTGGGGGAGGTTGATTTTTTTTTTTAATGCCAAAACTTTCATTTCTCAACACAATGGAGCTCTTTAGTCTGTTGATAAATTTCTTGACTTACCACTGCTTGTTCCAGAATTTTAAACAAGTGCACAAAAAGGAGCAAATAACAATCGATAATCATATGAACAAATGCTCCAAACAAGCTACAGAAAAGAGGAAAGAACAAGTAAGTACTTAAATAAAATAACCACAGACTGGATAGAGTTTGTTTAGCCTACGGTGACACACTGCAAAACTAGAGAGGGGAATGAATCTGTGTGTGAAGGCTTGAACTGAACTTGATATGCCTACGGTAACACAAGGCAAACATAGCCAATCTTGGCTGTCAACTTGACTATATCTGGAACCAACTAAAACCCAAGCGGCTGCACATACCTGTGATGGATCTTCTGGACTGGATCATTTGATGGGGAAGGCACACTCTAAATCTCAGCCAAACCGTCTGCTGGTAGCCCATATAAAAGGTCATGGAAGAAGGCGGCTTTTGCTTTTTGCCTGCTTGCCCTCACTCCCACTGGCAAGTATCTACCCTGCTGCAGAGGCATTCCTTCACTGGTTTAGACCTCTTCAGGATTCCACTGCACACGGAAGACAGCAGCTCTCTAGGAATCCTGGGTGAGTCCAGCACAAATTGGTACCGCTGAGGCATCCATCCAGTATCACCGACCTGACTGAATGACCAGATCCTTGGCCTGTCTATTGTGATAGCCTTTGTAATCTACTCTAATAAATCCCCTATGTATGTGTGTGTGTGTGTGCGCGCACGCATGTGCATGCGTGTGGGCTCTATCAGTTCTGCTCCTCTAGGAAACCCTGACTAATAAAATGGTACGCATGTACATGAAAGAACCTTTTGTAGACTATACACACTGATTGTTAGATGAGTAAAAACACTTATACTCAAGTCTGGACCATGGGAAAAATGGAGAAAAGAGCTCAACACAGCCACCATCTGCCGAGCTTCCTTACTTGGCATCCCTGTCCAGGGCGCATTCACTGACCTGGGAGGCTCTGGTTTGGGACATCTTCCTTCCATGGCCCAGCTTCTTGTTCCAACTTCAGGATCAACTCAGGTTTGGGATCACACCGATCTAGTAATAGGAAAGAATTGTACAAGTTTTGGCTAACTGCTAAGTGAGGTACATAAAATGACAATACATTGGGCTGGAGAGATGGCTCTTGCAGAGGACTTGAGTTTAATTCTCAGAACCCAAATGGAGGTTCACAACTGTTTCCAACTTCAGTCCCAGGAAAACAGATGCCTTCTTCTGCGTTCTGTTTATTAATTAATTAATTTAATGTTTGTTTGTTTGTTTGTCTGCTATTTTGAGACAGGCTTTCTCTGTGAAACAGTCCTGACTGTTCTGGAACTCACTCTGTAGACCAAGCTGGCCTCGAACTCACTGAGATCTACTTGCCCCTGCCTCCTGAGTGCTGCTACCACCGCCCAGCACTTCTTCTGCCTTCTGAAGGCACTGCACTCATGTTGTGTACAGACATACATGCAAGCAAAACAACCATACACATAAAATGACAATATATATTATTATGGGCAATGGGCAGTGACAGGACCGATGAGAACATTTTATAAGCGCTTTAAGAACATCCACAGATTCAGCCAAAACAGATCAATTCCCAAGGTGTATTACAGCCAACTATGAAAAGTACAAAATAGGACTGGAGAGACAGCTCGGTTGTGAAGAGCACATGTTTCCCTTGCAGAGGAATGGGGCTCAGTTCTCATCACTAACACCAGGCAGCTCACAAGCAGCTGTGAACTCCAGACGGTCTACCTTCCTCTTGCATCCTATGTAAACACTGTACTCACATACATGATGTCATATACATAAAGCCACATGCAGACACACATAATTAAATATGATTAAAAAAAGCCTACAAACAAAGACAGAACTAAGACATCCTGAGAGCCAGCATGTGGCACAGTTCTATGATTTTAGCACTGAAACAATTTTGAAGGAAAGTCTGTGAAGAGAGATCTTTTTGTTTTTGGTTTTTCAAGGACAAGTTTTCTCTGTGTAGCCCTGGCTGTTCTGAAACTCATCCTGTAGACCAGGCTGGTCTTGAACTCAGAGCTCCACCTGCCTTTGTTTCCCAAGTGCTGGGAGGATTAAAGGTGTGCACCACCACCCCTGGATGAGAAAGTATATCTTTAAAAAACAAAATTTTGCAAATTAAGAAAATGGAAAAAAGCAAATGAGATAGTACTTGAACAAAGGCATGACAGCAGGAACGACTGAGAGCTCACATCTTGATCCGCAAACAGGATGCAAAAGGAGAACACTGGGAATGACACATGACTTTTGAAACTCAAAGCTTGCCCACAGTCGTTCCTGTTGCCATGCCTTTGTTCTACCATCACGGACTCTAACTCTTTGAAATCATAAGCCAATTAAATGCTTTCTTGTCTAGTTCCCTTGGTTACAGTGTTTTATTACAGCAATAGAAAAGTGACTAATACACTAGTTACACAGTAAGATCCTATCTTCACATGGGGTCAGATGACTTACAAATGCTTGTACAACTCAGATGATCAGGGCTGGAGACCCAGCACTCAGATGAAAGCTGGGTGTGGTATGTGTATGTGTGGGAGGGATAGGGGCAGAAGGAGGAGGACAGAGACAGGCAGATCCCAGGAGGTTGCTGGCCAATAGCCAGGCTGGAAAGGCAAGCTTCGGGTTCAGTGAGAGAGTGTACCTCAAGATATAAGGGGGAAAGTAGAGGAAGCCTTCTCATGCATGAAAGGGTCAGGCAAGCCCTACAGACAGATGTGATTGAACCACATACAAACAGGAAGTCATGCATTAAAAAAAAATTATGAAAAGTAAACAACACTGTCCTGAATGAAAAACTGTTAAAAACAAACAACTAAAACCAAACAAAAAACTTAAAAGTACATTGCAACAAATAAAAACTATACCACATTAAACAATGTGGTAAGAGCAACAGAAAGGAAGCATTAAGTTCCTACAGAAAAGCAAAGAGGAACAGAGAAAGGACAAAACACCTAAGTAGAAATTAGTACAAAGAAAATATCAGCGAGAGCACAAATGTAAAAACTGATACAAGCACAAAACTAAAAGAGCAGTAAACAGGAGGAGGTTGTTTGTTTGTTGGCTGAGGTGTATGTACATGTTTGGTTTTAGTTATTTTGAGACAGAGTCTCTTTGTAGTTATGGCTGGCCTGAAGTCACCCTGTAGACTAGACTGGCCTTGAACTCACAGAGATCTGTCTGTTTCTACCTCCTAAGTGCTGGGATCAAAGGTGTGCAATATCATGCACAGTATATAGGAAGAGGTTTTTGAGAAATAAATATAAAACTTTAGCTTCCGCTGTCAACATGCCAGTGCGGATGCTCTCTCTGCTGAGTCTCCCTGTGTCGACAGCTCGGGCTACTCCACGACAACGAGGCATAGAAGAGCACTAGAGAGGAGCTGCTCATCGAGCCTAATGTTAAGACTGGGGAAGGCAGAACATCTTCTGGAATATGTGCAACTGTGATGTGCCAGTTAAAAACAGAAATAGCCCTGGATGTGGTGCAGCATTCCTTCAATCCTTGGAAAGCAGAGGTAGTCGGATCTCTGAGTTCAAGAACAGCCAGGGCTATGGTGAGACCCTACCTCAAAAAACAACAAACACCAAATAGGGACTTGGAGAAATGACTCAAAACTAAGAATACTTGCTCCTCTTGCAGAGGACCTAGGCTTGATTTCCAGCAATTACATGGCTGCTAACAAGTGCCTGTAACTCCAGTTCTAGGGACTCCAATGCCCTTTCTGACCTCCTTCAGCATTGCATGCATATGGTGCATACACATATATGGAGGCGAAATACCCATACATATAAAAAAAATTAAACAAATCTTAAGAAAATACAAACAGTCTGGAGATTAAGCTCAGTGCTGGGTACTTACCTACACTGCACAAGACCTAGTTTGGTCACTAGCACACACACACACAAAATATCCTTGGAAGAAGTTCCTGTAGTTATCAAAAAGCAGTAAGCTTCTAATAGGAGTACTGGAGAGTTTCACTCACTCAAGGACAGCAGGCTGCTGTAGGTCTCCAGCATCACATCCCTGTAGAGCTTCCTCTGAGCATCATCCAGGTCCTGCCACTCTTCCCAGGTGAAGTCCACAGAGACATCCTCAAAGGACACCAACCCCTGTAATCAAACATCTTTCCTTAGCCCAAGCCTCAGCCTTTGGTCAGAGACAGGAATATGGGAGGTCACTCCTCTCCACAATTGTTTACACAGGATATACATTTAAGTTTTCTTATCATGGAAGAAAAATCATCTGCAAAATGTCTTACAAACATACTAATTTAGTAATGATAAGAGACAAAAGGCAGAAAACAAATGTAAGCAATTGATAAGTCTCTCGTTTCCCACTTAAAATACACTTCTGACTCCAACAATGACAAATCCAAGCAGTCAATGTTGTCTCTAAGTTATTTATAAAGTACAGTCATAAGCACTCACATATGCTCTTCCAAAAGCTAGAAGAACTGCTAGATTCAACAGAAATAAACATCACTAGCATCCTATAAAGCAATATATAAACAAGCAGAAGCCAGCTCAACGCCTCAACATTTTGAAAGTCATCCCATGAAAGTAGAAAGGGGAAGGTCTCAGGGCAGAGCCGGTGGGGAAGAATCACTTCCCAGTTTCCACACTGGGAAATAGGGCACTAACAATACAGAGTGGAAGACATGCAATGTGGTAGGCTCCACAGATCCCACTCCCACAGAAGGCTGAGGCAGGGGACCAAGAGTTGGAGACGAGGCAGACACAAGAGGAAAGGAACTGGGAACTCATCACAGAAGAAACACAAAGCAGCAACAGAAAATAAAAAGTAAGAATAGCATTTATTAATTTCTTTTGTCTTTGATAAAAATATCAGTTTGTTTCCAAGGTTTCTATATAAACAATTATTTAGGAATTGATGTATTTAACTATGCGACATGAAAGAAGAGGGCAATTTGTGGGAAGGAACAATAGATTTTTTTTTTCTCCTGTGTTTTTGCTAACCTGTAAACTGTTTTTTCCCATGATGACTTGCTTAATTTCTTTTCGAACACAGGCATATTAAGATGGTGTGTACAGACTCAGAACAGAACAAATACCTCCATCCTCTCCTCACTTCAGCCCAGTCCGTACGAGCTGACACTGCCTATGGAAATATCTGCAGAAGTGATCTGTCATCTCTGATCACTGTTTTAAGCTGGTGCCCAGTAACTGACTTAGACAAAAAAGCAGCATTTGAGAGTTGTGAATGAGAAAGAGGGAAGGGGCCGCTTACTGTTTGAGCACAATACACTGGAAAGACTTTCATTCATCATCAGACCAAACTTTCTGGGAAACAGAATAGGAAGTTCCTAACCAGAGACACGGGCTTGGAGAGCATCGACTAGGAACGACCAGGGTGCAGAACCAGGGCTCATCTAGGAAGGTGTCCAACCTTCAGGGTTAAGTCATCCACCACTGCTGCCCAAGACTCAAGGTTTACCCCTTCAGCTCATTACCAAGTTCCCACACATACTCCAGTCTGCTATACTTTGTACAGGGTAGGTTGAAATCCATCTGTAAATGCCAGATATCTGAAACAAGAGTAGTTATAGTGAGTGTGAAATAAATTCCTGGCATCATTTTGAGACTTAAGACAAATACAATGCACTAAAAAGATGGTACCTTGGATGTGCTGGCGTATGTGTGAAGGATTCCAGGACATGGGGACCACCGCCTACTCCTTTTCAGTGCTGTTTATGTGGACAGAACATATACCTCCACCCCCACCTCACTTCGCCTCAGACAGGACTAGGTGACGCTGTCTATGGAATTACCTGTAGAAGTAACCTGCCACCTCTGATGACCTTTTGAAGCTGGCATTAGGTTTGCTGTTCTTTTTCTTACTGATCAGCAAACTCCAGGAGGCCACTCTGTGAAGCTATCGTGGCCTGAGATGTGATATACACCTTGCTTATGTAACTTCACCAAAGCAGGAGTTGCTGCTTATCAAAACATAAACTATAGCTCTGACAGCCAAAAAATACAGACAGCATCAGCTAGAGAAGATCCAAATCTGAGGATGGAGCAGGGAACACCACAAACAAACACTGATGAACACCCACATATGTACACTGAACTGAGTTTACAGCCCACACTGCCTTCTTGGTCAGAACTGTTCTACTTTTAATTTCCAGTGAGGTAATACCTTTATAAAAGGAAGTAGAGTCAATAAGCACACACTACAAGAAAAGATGAGAAATTTGAATTCACACATTAAAATTAGATTCCAAGAAAAAGAAACAGCAGTCACTTCTAACAATGCTCACATCCTAATTCCAGAAAAATTTCAGAAAAAAATTAGCATCCAAAATACTTGCTTGCTACATGTGAACACATATAAAAACAGTCCTGGAAAGTGATCTATCATAGCTACATCCTCAGACATAAACATACTTGTTATAAAACAGAAGTAACTGACATAACTAGTCTTCATTTCTGTAACTGGTCATGTGTGTGTGTGTGTGTGTGTGTGTGTGTGTGTGTGTGTGTGTTAGCTGTCTGTCTTATTCTAGTACTCACGCTGTATTTCCCCAGCCTTCAGCAAATGTGTCAGCAGGCCTTGCTTCTTTACTAGGAAGCACAACTGAGTGTCTGGAATAGTTGTAGTCCTGCCTGACAAAGAGGGCACAGTTATACTAAGAGATGCCCTTAGTGATGTCCTTTCATGGTTTGACTGTGGAATGTTCCCTACAGGCTCACTGTTTTGAGCATGAGATCTGAAGCGTGTGGTGCTACTTTGAAGGCTGTGGAAGGGTTAGGTGGTAGGGGTCTGGCTGCTGGAAGTAGACTACAAATGGGTGTCTTTGAAGGTTATACCTGCCCCTGGTTCCCACTTCTCTCTCAGGTTCCAGGTCTGCCATGGTGTGAACAGCTGCTCCTCTTCACACTCTCACCTCCACTGATGGAGCCACTCCAACCTGCCATCACTGCCATGATGGACTGATACCTCTGAAACAATGAGCCAAAATAAATCTTCCCTTTCCTATGGGCTTTCTTTCAGGTAATATTTGGTCAAAGCAATACAAATGTAATTAATATTTTCCCTTATCTCCACGGTATCCTGGTCCGATCTTCCCTGGGTAATCTAGATTACTCAGGAAAACCATCACTAGCATCTTTACCACCTATTGCCTTGGGGTCATAAGAAGCAAAGTACTTTGGATAAAATCAGTCCCTCCAGCCGAATAGAGTCATAGTGGTGGCCTTTGGTAGAAGCATTGCCCCTTATCAATGTAGGCCAGTAGGGCATGTGGCTATGGGAACAGAAACAAAAAAAGGTCCTAGTAGTGGGGTGTGGTACATACCTTTGAGGCCAGCACTTGGAAAGCAGGGGCAGGTTGTCTGTGAGTTCAAGACCAGCATGGTTTTCAGAGCAAGTTCCAGGCCAACCAAGCTCACATAGTGGGACCTTGTCTTCAAAGCTCCTAGTGCTAAACACTTTACTAGTAAAGTCTTCTGCTGTGGTCATTTCTGATGAGCTTTGATAGGAGACACAAATACCTTTATTTCTACCATCCAGACAGTATGTCAATACTCCTGTTGTCCAAATGTGCTTCCAGTGTTCCTTCTGAGCTACTGATCATGAACCCAGGCACTGTGTAGGTCAGTGAAGGTAAGAGTGCACAGTACGCTTCTCACCTTTACCTGTGGATTCCCACACTCTGGTTTCTGTCTATGGCAAACATCAGGCAAGCTGCTGAACCTGACCCAGAGTACTTACAGCCTTTGTAGAGAATCCCATCCCAACCCTGTACGGACTACAATCTAGCTGGTGCCTTCTCCTGTGTTTAAAATTATGTCAAGACATTTTTGAGCAAATAATATATTTTGTATAATCTACGAACTAGATGGAAGTATTGCTACAAAATATATAAGCAAGATATGTACATTATCCAGACGTGTGCTCCTGTTTTTACTCATGCTCCATGTGCCTTTCTCATGACTCGCACACAAATGGTATCCACTTATTCTGTTTTCTCCCAAGGCCTTCACCACACCTGCCTGCTAGCTGTACAGCTCGTCAGCACTCAGGCCTCACCCCTGAGGAACAGACCCTTCCAGCCTAGCACCTAGCAGAGACGGACAGTTCTGGTGTGACAAGAAAGCATATGCTTGTTTCTAGGCAACCACACTTCCTTACCATCTACAGCATCACATGTGCCACTGGAGCAGAATGAACAACAACAGAGCTGGCGGGAATTGTAACTCCTAACGTTAGACCTCAGGGAGCAAAGCTGGGAGAAAGGAAGTGGAGGGAATAAAAAGAAGGATCCAGGAAAAAAATATCCCTCATTTTAGAGTACTCACCAAAGCCACAAGGTAGATTGGCATCAATATCATATACAAGAAAAAAAATGGAGGATACTACTTCCATTCTGACAAGGAGAGCTTGTTGCGCCTCTTCGTATCAACACAGGAGTTAAACTTATGGTCTGAATGCTACACAAGTGGTCCATGCTACCAAGAAATAATCTCTAAACTCACAGCAAAGGACTGGATCACAGAAGTCCTCTAATGTGGAATGAGTGGGGAACTGAGAAGAAGAAAAGGGTAAGTTACGATCAGGAGAAAAAGAACTCAGAAAATAAGCGAAGAAAGCAGCAGCAGCATCAGGACTGAAATGAAGACCTTCCCGGGAAAGAGGACGGGCAACTCTGCAGCATGGCAGAAGACGGAAGTAAGGCAGCTGGCAGAGAACAGTGTTTCCATTCGACTGTGATGAGACGCTGAGAATCTGAACCAAGACTACAGTGATTGGGAGAAAAAATGCAAACAGTAAAGACGAATTATTACTAGAAACATGTCTGGACACCGCTATGCTCTACATGCACGCACGTAGGGAGAGAAGTGAAGGGTCCGGAGTGCTTTGTCTTCCTACCTTCTAGGTCTCATCTGACGTAGTGGGCTCTTCCAAAAGCTGTCTGGAACTATACAACTATACAACTTTAGCAAAGAAAACCCCCGTGACTCCATCTGAGTCTGAGCACTTGTGAACACTGTGGAATGCTGTGTTCATCTCCAGCCTGGGAATGAAGCTCCGTTCACATCATGCTTGTGTCCATGAAGCCTGTTTAGACTTCACGGGACATGAGAGGTTGGCACCTTCTGAGTCAACCCAACCCCTACAACAAACAGACCATGTCAGGAAAACCAGAGACTGGTTGGCTCCGTCGACACATTCGGTGCTATCATCTGCATGTATTTATCTTACATTAAGTTTATTCTTCCATTTCCATTTTCAAAAGTCCTAAAGTACAATATAAGACAAGGCAAGGCTAACTATACTACTCACCTCCGATGTGTCCATTGTCCTAAGGCTTTCAGACATGAGAGGACCGTGCAATCACAGCTAGAAGAGAAAGTCAACAGAAATTAACTTACCAGATATGCCCTGCTTTCAGATCTCAATCTGCAAACACAGGAAGAAAGCTACAAGACGGACAAAAATGCCTCCCTGTGTGGGAATGGTGTGTTATACTTGACAACGGCCACAACTGATCTTGTTGAAGGAGCATCAGGCACGTTATTAAACGGTGGAGATTCATCATTCCATTATACACACACTGTCTTACACATTGAAATTTCATACAAAGCATGTCTCATCCACTCTACATGGTTTACTTTCAAGACTTCCCTGGCGAAACCGAACACTGAGTGTATTCACTGCAGGGCTTTGGCAGTGATATTTCCCAATGGCTGGGATCCTGCACTCAGGCCTTGGTATATAGCTCCCTCCCACAACGTCACTTGCTCTGGCCAGTGGAGCTACGATAAATGTGACCTGTACAACTTTTAAAATGAGTTTTCCCAGGGCAACTAGCCGAGATGGCAACTTGTGTTCCTACACACCGCTTCTACACCGTCTTTAAAAAAGTGTATTAAGGTTCTTCAGAGCACTAAAGGTAAAAGTACCACAGGCTGCAGCAAGCCCCAAGTCCAAAGGCGCTGAAACCATAATAAGACAGCTGCGCTCTATTGCTGTGCCATAGCTTTTCCCTCCAGACCCAACAGGTCCCCACTGCCACCGTGAAGCAGAGATGCCCTTAGCAATGAAGCGAGAACACAGTGATGGCTAAGTCTCTAGTAACTGGTCCAGCTAATTAATACTCCAAAGTCACAGGCCCCTCACCTAGGATTCCAGCCATCGCTTCCCTCTCAACATCCTCCCCACCAGCTCTTCCCTCACTAATCGGTCAAGTGACCGACTCCTCAATGCCTTCCTCCCAGTGAAGCCCTCACAATGAAACACTATAGGGACAGTCTGCAAAGTCCTTCTGAACCGCAGGGTGGGGACACACGCTAGACAACCTGGTGGAGGGTGGGCTAAGCTCAGGAGCCGCAGGAGATGGAGTCGGGAGCAGGGCCAGGCTGAGCACAGAATCCGGAATGCAGGGAGATAGGCGGTGAGCTCAGCCCGGCACAGGTACCCAGCCCAGCGCCGTCTGCATCCGGAACAGCCGAGGAGATGAGGACCGACACCGGCCAGCTCCCGCCGGTTCCCCAGAGGCTGCACTCACCTTGGTGCCGGGCGTCAGCTTCTGTGTGTTTTTTACCAGAAGAACGTAGGGCCAAAAGACTGGGTACCAACCTCGGCGGAAACCGGAAACAACATGGCGGACCCCCAGAGATAGTTCGGGAAAGGACGCCCCGCCTCAGAGCTGGGTCTGACTGGACAGATCCCGAGTCTCCACCACGATTGGATAGAATATCTTGAGTGACAGTAAACATTACCAATCGTTGACAGAACAAGGCTGGAGAAATCTACTTACCACTTTATGCTGTGATTATTAAGACTTTCTCCACTTAACCCTGTGACATCATTAAGTTTTTTTCTCTACCTTGGCTATTCCATTTAATGTGACGTCCTTCAGGTTAATCAACGTCATCCAAAGTGACGAGGTTTTTCTATTTTTGATATGTATTTCATTGTGGATATTCACGTTTCCTTTTCATCCATCTAGGGATGAACGCAAGTAATTTTTATAACTTGACCCTTTATGGATAGTACTGCAATAACTATAGCAGCGCAGGAATCCCTTGCACATTGACCTAAAATCCTTTTTTATATGTTCAGATTTGGACTTGCCGGTTGTTACAGCAGTTGCGTTTTAATCTTTTTGAGGAACCGTCACATTTTTCATAATGGACATCCATCCATCCATCCATCCACCCACCCATCCATTCATCCATTTTCAGCTCCTTTAAAAAAATGGGTTGCTCATCTCCACATTCTCAGTAACACTTGTCAGCTTTTCTGTTTCTGATAAATTCACTCATACAAGTGGTAACATCATGATTTTTAATTTGCATTTTCCTGACATTTGCTAATGTTAAATAAAAGTTTACCCTTTCTATAGCTACATCCCCAAATTTGGCCAGTTTATATTTTATACCATACACATACAAGCATATAAAAGTTTTCCTCAAAAAGGTAAATTGCATTCTTTCTTATAATAAAAATACCTTAAAATTCCTTCTCTGTTCAAAATGTTTTCATAGCATTTTCATTCAAATGTACATATTTGAGTATAAGTACATCACCCCTATTCCTCTTATTGCTCTGCCTTTCTCTTGCCAAAGTCCTGTTACTCTTTCTAAACATTTCCCCTCTCTTCTCAATGGCTAGAAGCACTTGCTGCTCTTCAGATGATCCCCACAGTAGCTATGTTTAGGCAGCTTACACCTTCCTGCAACTTCATTTCCAGAGACTACAATGTCATCTCCTTTCCTTCGTGGACCCCCCCCCCCAGATTATACTCATACAGAAAACATTACAAAAATAAAACCTTACATGTGAAATTGAGTTTTCACTCGCAAGGGAAAACATACAATATTTATTTTTTTCTGAGTCTGGCCTCTGGCCTACTTTGTTCATGTATGAAGATGTTCAGTTCCAATGTTTCTGTGAGACTTGCCTATCTAACATGCCTTGCCTACTTTAAAAAATTATTTTAAAGTAGTTAATTGTATGTATATATGCACCATGTGTATGCATAAGCCTGTGGAGATCAGAAGAGGCATTGGACGCTCACATGGTTGTGAACCGCCATGTGAGAGCTGGTGCCATGTGTACATTTTTGAAAGTGAAACAATTATGTGTTTAACCAAAGAATATAAGCTAGCAGAAGGGCATGTTTAGGGTTCTACAGTGAAGTTAAACATTTGTCTGGTCTCACAGTCGCAGATGTTTGTACATCACATCTCCATCAACAACATCTGGATCAGGACCCTGGAGAGAACTCGCTGGCCACCTATCCCTGTCTTTCCTTCTTGTGAATGGAGGTGTGGCTTCTGTGGAATTTTCCCTCAGGGTGGCAAATGTTTCTGTCTGGAACAGCCCACTTCTATTGTTTGAGCCCAGTCCGTGTGGGCTTCTGTGTTACACTTCAAGCTCCTAGTATCATCCTTAGACTATCAGGTCACCACGGAGTCCCTGTGTGACAAGGTTCAATGGGAATGCAAGGAACTGTCCCCAAGCCTGGGAACAGTAGGAGGAGAGGTACAGACTGAATGCTCAGGATGTGTTCTTGTTCCCTGCTCACTTCACATGGGCTGTGTATAAATCACCCACACTAATCTCAACCATCTTACTCGTTCATGACATCGAGATACAACATGTAGAGTTGAAAGATGGGGCCTCTTCTCTGAGAGCAAAACATTCTTGTGATTTACTTAAGGTGGAAAGTTTGTATTTCTATCTGAGATACTGTTCCTTAAGCGTTGAGTAGCAAAGGTTAGAGTCAAAGAATGTTCGCCTTTGTGGCAGAGACTTGATAAGAAATGAGTCTAAATTAATATGCTCCTCCAGACCTCATACCCAGAAAAATGGGGAAGAAAAATGATGTTAGGAATGATCATGGCGGCATTGGAATCCTTCAGGTTTTTCTGGAGAAGTAAGTCTATGATAGTATATCAACAGTTTCTGGTTTTCTCTCTCATGTGCATGTGTGTGGTGTGCATGTATGTGTGTATCTGTGGACGGTGACCTTCACCAACTGAGTCATCTTGCTGGCCCCCATATTCCCCAATTTCGGAACTTTCAGTTTACACATATCTCTATATTTATTTAAATAAGATTATAGATAGAATATATTTCATCTTTTTAAAAATCTGATCATTTTTTTTTTCAACACCGAGTGGCCTAGATCTTGCTATATAGACCAGGCTAGTCTCAAACTCATAGAGCTCTATCCATCTTTGCTTCGGAAATGCTGGGATTAAGGGCATGAACAGTTATGTATAGCTACTCTGTCTTTAATGGTATATATTTTTTTAATTAATTAATTTATTTATTAAAGATTTCTGTCTCTTCCCCACCGCCGCCTCCCCTTTCCCTCCCCCTCCCCCAATCAAGTCCCCCTCCCTCGTCAGCCCAAAAAGCAATCAGGGTTCTCTGCCCTGTGGGAAGTCCAAGGACCACCCACCTCCATCCAGGTCTAGTAAGGTGAGCATCCACGAAACTGCCTAGGCTCCCACGAAACCAATAGGTCCAGTAGAATCAAAAACCCGTTGCCATTGTTCTTGAGGTCTCAGTAGTCCTCCTTGTCCGCTATGTTCAGCGAGACCAGTTTTGACCCAGGCTTTTTCAGACCCAGGCCAGCTGGCCTTGGTGAGTTCCTGATAGAACATCCCCATTGTCTCAGTGTATGGGTGCACCCCTCGCGGTCCTGAGTTCCTTGCTTGTGCTCTCTCTCCTTCTGCTCCTGATTTGGACCTTGAGATTTCAGTCCGGTGCTCCAATGTGGGTCTCTGTCTCTGTCTCCTTTCATCGCCTGATGAAGTTTAATATTCAGGAGGATGCCTATATGATTTTCTTTGGGTTCTCCTTCTTATTTAGCTTCTCTAAGAACCCGAATTATAGGTTCAATGTCCTTTATTTATGGCTAGAAACCAAATATGAGTGAGAACATCCCATGTTCCTCTTTTTGGGTCTGGCTTACCTCACTCAGGATGGTGTTTTCTATTTCCATCCATTTGCCTGCAAACTTCAAGAAGTCCTTGTTTTTTACTGCTGAGTAGTACTCTAATATGTATATATTCCATACTTTCTTCATCCATTCTTCAATTGAAGGGCATCTAGGTTGTTTCCAGGTTCTGGCTATTACAAACAATGCTGCTATAAACATAGTAGAGCATATACTTTTGTTGTGTGATAAGGCCTCTCTTGGGTATATTCCCAAGAGTGGTATTGCTGGGTCCATGGGTAGGTTGATCCCAAATTTCCTGAGAAACCTCCACACTGCTTTCCAGAGTGGTTGCACAAGTTTGCATTCCCACCAGCAATGGATGAGTGTACCCCTTTCTCCACAACCTCTCCAGCAAAGGCTATCATTGGTGTTTTTGATTTTTGCCATTCTGACAGGTGTAAGATGGTATCTTAAAGTTGTCTTGATTTGCATTTCCCTGATCGCTAAGGAAGTTGAGCATGACCTTAGGTGTCTTTTGGCCATTTGAACTTCTTCTGTTGAGAGATCTCTGTTCAACTCAGTGCCCCATTTTATAATTGGGTTGATTAGCCTTTTACGGTCTAGTTTCTTGAGTTCTTTATATATTTTGGAGATCAGACCTTTGTCAGTTGTGGGGTTGGTGAAGATCTTCTCCCAGTCAGTGGGTTGCCTTTCTGTCTTAGCAACAGTGTCCTTTGCTTTACAGAAGCTTCTCAGTCTCAGGAGGTCCCATTTATTCAATGAGGCCCTTACTGTCTGTGCTGCTGGGGTTATACGTAGGAAGTGGTCTCCTGTGCCCACGTGTTGTAGAGTACTTCCCACTTTCTCTTCAATCAGGTTCAGTGTGTTTGGACTGATATTGAGGTCTTTCACCCACTTGGACTTGAGTTTTGTGCATGGTGATAGATATGGGTCTATTTTCATTCTTCTACAGATTGACATCCAGTTTTGCCAGCACAATTTGTTGAAGATGCTCTCTTTTTTCCATTGTATACTTTTAGCTCCTTTATCGAAAATCAGGTGTTCATATGTTTGTGGGTTAAAGTCAGGGTCTTCTATTCGATTCCATTGGTCGACTTCTCTGTTTTTATGCCAATACCAAGCTGTTTTCAATACTGTAGCTCTGTAATAGAGTTTGAAGTCAGGGATGGTAATGCCTCCAGACGTTCCTTTATTGTATAAGATTGTTTTGGCTATCCTGGGTTTTTTGTTTTTCCATATAAAGTTGATTATTGTCTTCTCCAGATCTGTGAAGAATTTTGATGGGATTTTGATGGGGATTGCATTGAATCTATAGATTGCTTTTGGTAGAATTGCCATTTTTACTATGTTGATCCTCCCAATCCAAGAGCAAGGGAGGTCCTTCCATTTTCTGGTGTCCTCCTCTATTTCTTTCTTCAAAGACTTGAAGTTCTTGTCAAATAGATCTTTCACTTCCTTGGTCAGGGTTACCCCAAGATATTTTATGCTCTTTGTGGCTATCGTGAAAGGTGATGCTTCTGTGATTTCCCTCTCTGTTTCCTTATCCTTAGTGTATAGGAAGGCAACTGATTTTTTGGAGTTGATCTTGTATCCAGCCACGCTACTAAAGGTGTTTATCAGCTGTAGGAGTTCTTTGGTAGAATTTTTGGGGTCGCTTATGTATACTATCATGTCATCTGCAAATAACGAAAGCTTAACTTCTTCCTTTCCAATACGAAT